CTTCATAGTCACCACCGGACATGCATGAGTCAGACCGAGACGGGGAAATGTGCCCGGGCTGCTTATGGAACCATTGAAGGTATAGTCAGCCTGTGAGGCGTGGCCTTGCCATGCTTCTTTCTCTTTCAACTCGTCTTGTACGTAGGTGAGTTCTTTGTCTATGAGAAAGGGGTGCAATAAATCACCAATAAACCATAAATTCACCTGGAAATCAACTGCAACTAGCCTGAATGTGATAGACCAAAATATGCCACCCTCAAGTCTCCCAGTTGCTTAGAAAAGTAAGTCAATGGAAATAGGAGATTTTCTGGGTTTTGTTTTCATTTGTGTCTAGGCTCAACCAGGTAATGACTCTATGGACCATCTTTTAAGGATCTCTGAGGCTTTTGAATCACTGGGTTTCAACTTAGTAGACCAAGGAGAAATCCTAAACTCCTGAGGTAAACGAGGTCCAGTCCCTGTGAAGGATGACAGTCCGGTTCTGACTACAAGCATGAGCAGACGGACCATCTTGGCCCACCTTCAACAGGACACAGTAAGCAGGGATTCAGACATAGTGAAGCCCTACTTCCTGTACAAGGAAAGAAGCATGCTGGTCGGACAGACCAAGAGTCAGTGCTGAAAGTCACACAAACCCTAGCTTCTATCTTGCATTTAGAAACAGCCCCACTTACAGTATGAGGAAACCAATCTGCTCGTTGGGTTCCTGTATTATTTTACTAAATCGGGTTAAAACTGGCAGAGGCATATGTGTTCAGTTTGCTATACGCACAGTTGCTTCTTGTTTTCTCCTTCCTGTGTTTTAATGCTCTCGGGTGCTGTGCACTGTCTAGTTCACCCCAGGCCCACCATTCCGTGTCTATATCCAAAGTCATTTGGGTTGGGACCACAGATTATATTGTCCCTGTACAGCTTAAAGAAAAAGACAAACCTTGGCCTCATTGGTTTTAGCCTGGTTTACTTGAAGCAATGAATTGTACTTATATTGCTGGACACAGACCATACCTTATTTTTTTGAGCGAATGCAGTTGTTCACATATGTAATTGATCACATAGTCCATCCCAGTGTGCTCCTGAGGTTCCCTATGTGCTTTGAAAGAAATGAAGAAATGACTTAATTAGTTACAAATATATTGCAGTTACTTGCTATGTGCCAGATGACCTGCAGGAAACAAAACAAGGAAGAGTGCTCACACTTATTACACACTTAATATGTACTAGGAACTTGTGCTCAGCACTTCACATACATGATCTGTTCTGTTAAAAAAAAAAGAAATCTTCAATGTTGCCCTATGGGGAATAGGTATGACAAAGCTGAGGGACCTGAGGCTCAGAGAGCTTCAGTGACTTGCTTGAGGTCACAGAGTTAGTGTGTTGCAGAGCAAGGCTTCAGACCCAGCCTGTCTGGCTCCAGCGTCTATGCTTTGCTCACTGTAATATGCCTAAACCTGCATTCAGGGAGCCAGCAGTCCATTTTAAAGAAAGAGAAACTTTGTAAAAACTCTCATATTAAAATTTGTCCTAGTCTGGCCAGTGTGGCTCAGTGGTTGAGCATCGACCCATGCACCAAGAGGTTGCTGGTTCAATTCCTGGTCAGGACACATGCCCAGGTTGTGGGCCCGATCCCCAGTGGAGGACCTGTAGGAGGCAGCCAATCCATGTTCTCTCTCATTGATGTTTCCATCTCTTTCTCTCCCTCTCTCTTCCTCTCTCTCTAAAATCAATAAAGAAAAAAAATTATTTTAATTTGTCCTAGCCCTGGCTAGTGTGGTTCAGTGGTTAGATTGTCAGCCCAAGACCAAAGGGTCACGGGTTTGATTTTCAGTCAAGGGCACGTACCTATGTTGCAGGTTTTATCCCTGGCCCCACTCAGGATCGTGCGGGAGGCGACCTTAATGTGTCTCTCTCACATCAATGTTTCTCTCTCTCTCTCTCTCTCTCTCACATCAATATTTCTCTCTCTCTCTCTCTCTCTCCCTCCCCCCTCCCTTCCTCCCTTCCACTGTCTCTAAAAATATCAATGGAAAAAATATCCTCAACTGAGGATTAACCAAAAAATAAAAATAAAAATAAAGTGTGTCCTAATTTTGAAAAGTCTGGGAACTTTCCAGCAGTTCTCTCTGGGGGATCCAGGCGGAAGGGGTGCTATTCCCCAAAGACCATTGGATCGCCTGTTAAATAATTCATGCCTTAGAAAGAAGGACACTAAAGAAATCACCGAAGGAATATGGCAAGTATAGTGTTATATGCTTTTAGCAATAAAGATAGACCTCCAAAACAAGCTATTTTAAGAGTAAAGTTAAAGCTTGCCAGAATAGTGATAGGATTGCAGACCAGAAACTTGAACTTTGTCTGCTCATGCTGTCATAAAAACACTAGTGGCTTGTTAAGGGCTTGGTACTGTGCCTTATTGTGTACCTTATCTCCATTTAACTTTCACAATAAGTATAAAAGACTATTAGCCTCAATTTTATAGGTGAGGAAACCAAGAAGTCAAAAAAAAAAGCTTAAATTTACATGCTCATAAAGGTTAGAGCTGAGACACAAACCCAAGTCTTACTCCAGAGTTGATGGCCTTAATGTGCCCCCTCCCACACAATAATAAGTGGAAACTGCTATTACTGTGTTTTGAAGGCAACTAAAAAAGAAAGTCTGCACTAAATAGCAATTCATTACAAAAGAGCTATTGGGGGCTGGATTTTTTCTCACGTCAGCCTCTTCATATTATTTCTCAGCATATCCATTTTATAAAGAGGGCAAAGTTGAATATGTTGCTAATTTGCTTAGAATAGTTCATCTTTAGGACTGTTATTAACTTCTTAATTGTCCACATATTCGAATAGATCTAAGACTTTTCAATCAGGGCTCCAAAGAAGCCACCCTATGGCTGATCTACTCTGTGGACCTGCCTTTTCAGAGAACAATTTAAATTAAAAAGCACAAGAGAGATGTTGAGGCAAGTCCTGTAGCCACACCAAACTGTACCGTGTCATAATAGGATTACATATGAAAAAAGAAGTCATGGTACCACAAGAGAATAAATAATAAGTACTAAATGAATGCAGAGAAGTACAGTTCATGGTAGTTTGTAGGAGCGAGACAGACACTGCCGCTCTGGGGATCAAAAAAGAGAGCAACGTGACTAATGAAGAAGGTTTTGAGTTGCACAGATCTGGCCTTGAATTTACCTATATGGCCTTGAGCGCGTTATGTCACCTTTTTAAATCCAGTTTCTTCATCTATAAAATAGGAATTTTAAGGTCAGATAATGAATGTACTTAGCATGGTGCCCTGCTTGTTCTCACGGTGATATAATTATCTACTTGTCAGTCTCCTCCAGTAGACTGTGACCTCTGAACACTGGACCTATGTGCTGCTCCTCTTGGTGTCTCTCGGTTCATCCCATTCCTATTGTTTCCTACTCTGTGACCGATATTTCCTGATCAGATTCCTCCTGGCCTCTCTCAGCCCTTGACATGTTTCACGAGAAGTGAATGGTTTACCTCATTGGCAAGTCAGGAAGGGCTCACTACCTGCCACTCTTCACATCCTCTTGGGAACATTCAGTCACTTCCTTATCATACGTAACTCTTACCGTCCAGTGCCGCCATGGCCAAGTGGGCTAGTCTGCCTAATTCTGGGGTCCAGTAGTATGAAGCACATTTTCACACAAATATTGAAGGGTAAAGGGACACCTGTCTGGAAAGGAATATTAGAACCAGATTGTGGAAAAGACCTTGTTAATGCCTTCATTACATGCCCTGTAGGCAGATTAGGTAAAATATATGGGTATTGATAAAGAATGGAAAGAGTCTACATGACTAAGCTCAAAGTAATACTTGCTTTGCTTTTGATGTTTGGACATTTTAGTTGTGTGACTTGGGGAGAGGGTCATTTGGGGTGGTTTTGCTTTGTGTTGAGGAGGTGAGATTAGGTATCAATATTTTAAATGTTGTACAGACTTCATTTTGTGTTTCTTTTAAAGTTATTTTATACTAAAGTACTAATAAACCCCATTACTTGATTAATAGACCTGCTAAATCAGTCTTTATCCAAGTGTGGTCCAGAGATTTGCCTCAGAATTACCTGGAGGGCTTTCAGAATGCAAATTTCTATGCCTCACCTCAAATCTACCAAACAAGAGTCAGGCGGCAAGGGGTGAAGAATATGAGTTTCACATTCTCCCCAGATTTTTATGCTAACTGTATTAAGGGCATACCTGCTAACAGGCAGGTGTGTTCAATTTAAATGTTCGTAGAAGAGGAAATCGTGTGTGTGTAATATTGCTAAATCGGATTATTGACCATTCTGATTACTGTTACAGTCATTTTTTCCTACGGACCAGGTCAGCCCTGCTAACTAGGTCAAGGATATCATCAAAATCCCAGCTGGGGTCTTGGCCGGGAGGCTTGGTTGGTTGGAGCATCATCCCATACACCAAAAGGTGGCAGGTTTGATCCTTGGTCAGGGCACATACCTAGGTTGTAAATCCATCCCAGTCAGAATGCCTACAGGGGTGGGGGGTGGCAACCAATCATTGCTTCTCCCTCACATCGACATTTCTCTCTCTCTCTTTCTTCCTGTCTTTCTAAAATCAATAAAAACATGTCCTTGAGTGAGGATTAAAAAAACAACAACTCAGCTGGGATATATATATATATATATATATATATATATATATATATATATCCATTTTGTGTCTTACTGATAGATCTTATGAACAAAAACTAGAGAAATTATGGGCAGTTTTAAAACCTTTTAAAAATTAGAGACTACACACTTTTAGAAAACAGCAAGAATAACCTTTGCAATTCTTCCAAAGAGTCACAGCTCCACCAGGTTCCCCTCTTCCGGCTCTGAGTGACGAGAGGACACAGCCGGGAACTTCCTCACAGAGCACCGTCTTGGGCATCGGCTGCGGGCTTGCATCCTTCGGCACCGCCTGCCTTCGGTCGGACGCGTGGGGAGACTGCTTTAGCGTGCTGTGTTTCTCTTTATAGATCATGCAGCAGATGAGTGACCACCGCTACGACAAACTCACTGTGCCTGATGACATCGCTGCAAACTGTATATATCTAAATGTCCCCAGCAAAGGCCACGTCCTGCTGCACCGAACCCCAGAAGAGTATCCAGAAAGTGCAAAGGTAAAAAAAAAAAAACCCTTCCTTGCCACTGCAGGTAACCAGGCTTCCCTGACAATCTTCCTGTCGGGGGATTTCTCATGGTGGAGTGACAAACAACAGGGGCTTCCTTTTCCTCTATACATATCAAATTATTGGGAAACAGGAAGGATAATATAATGTAGAGCACAAGGAAAGTGTATTTAACTCACTCTTCTCATTCATGTTATTGGCCACTAACACACACACAATCATTGAGATGATCACGCCTGGTATTCAGAGCTTTTCAAGTAAGTACTTGTGCTCCAGCTCTGATTAAATGTGCTTCGCCACACTCGGGTACTCATTAAGCATAGAGACCTACACTTAGATGGTCAACGGTGTCATTGTTTTCTGATCATTCTGAGCTGACCCTCATCAGAGGGTCATTTGTTTCTCAAGGCAGAGGTATGTGAATGACCCAAAGGGGCGGGTGCTCGTTGTCAGGGCTGCACATCCTGAGATAATAAGCATTAAAATACTCTTTGTCCGAAGGATGGAGCAGGAACCTGGAATCAACCCGCTGGTCCCTCTAAGAGTCCCTGCATTTGTGTCCCAACAAGGGAATGGTACCTAGATATGGAATTCTTTCCTGGTCTAACAAAATCTCCTTGTCTTTAGGACACTCTGCCAGTCTCATCTGTGTACATTAGTAACTTCAATTTAATCCTGCCAAGGAGATAAAACAGTGCGCATCCACAGGTCTTTCAAGTGTCCCTGTCTTTTAGACATTTGGCATCCTCATCTCTGCCCAGCTATTTAGACTAAGCATTACAGAAGAGTTTTAAGTAAACATCGATCTTTTTTTTTTCCTCCATCTTAAGCTTTAAAAAAATGTAGATACTATTTTGTAACACCTTTTAAATATGCAATACTGTTTAATTTCTAGGTTTATCCTCGTAATCCAGCTCCCTCTTAACAGATAGAAAGAAAGGAGTGGGGGAATCCATTGACAGTTTTTCTCTATTTCCATGGCTGAAAGTATGAGCCTGAGAAAAATATAGGACTTCTGACCCCAGACTGGACTTAACCTGCTCTAGATGAATAGTGGGTCTCATACTTTAACTTGCAGAAGGGTTGTTAAAAATGCAGGTTCCTCGACCCCCACCCTCAAATCTGCGATATCAACAAACACTCCTGTCACAGGATTCACTTGGAGTTTCAGAGCTCTGGATCCTTCATGCCTTTTCAGCACATTGATCCTCTGACAACCAGACAATCATTAACTGCTTCTGAATTTAGCATTTGTCGGCACCACAAATGATAACATCGGCGGTTCCTGGGGGCTTCCCCTGTGCCAGGCTGCGCCAAGCATGCTGCATGCATTCTCTTATAGCCCTGTGGGGGCGCTGTTCTCATCCCAGTCTTTCAGAGAAGCAATGTGAGACTCAGAGGGGATGTCGCCTGACTGAAGTCACACTTGAGGTAGTAAGTTCACAGAACCGGGTTTGGAACCCAACTCTGCAGCTCCAGCCCTCTTAACCACTGTTGGAATTGTAAGGAATGAAGTGCTTCCTTAAAGGAGCATGGTTGCTTGTTTTTAGGCAGTGTGTTTTCAAGTGATCTTGTGGGGTGTTTTTTTGTTTTTTTTTAATATGCTTTGTTCAATTATCAGAGAAAAATGTATAGACTGTTAATTTGAAATTTTGACACATGCCTTCTGTGAGTGTCAGAAGATGCTGTAAAATTTACACCTGTTATTTAAAAGCAGTTTGTTTGACCTGAAATGCTTCACTTACAATATGTTTTCTCCAATTTTCCCCAGTGGTGCTAGTAAGGAAAGAAACATCAAAGTATAGTTATGAGGGTTTTAGGTGTGGAGAGAGAGTGATATTCAGACTGAGAACATGGCCACCTTTCATCTATCACTGAATCTAGCAATGACAGCTTGAGCACCACCACATTCTGACACATCTCTGGCTTTGAGGTTACAGCGCAGAGCTCGTGGTTAACCAGCGCGCCTCGCTCTGTGAGTGTGGCTGTGGGTACATGTGTGGTCGAGACTGCATGCACATCTTGGGGTTAAATGGGTGAAAAGCCTAAATTCACAACCACATTAATTCTCTACAGCAGGTGGGGAGACAGAAGCAGAAACATAATCCTTCTTCTCTCCCTGTGCTTGGTTCGTGCTGTAGGTTTACGAAAAGCTGAAGGACCACATGCTGATCCCCGTGAGCCAATCTGAACTGGAAAAGGTGGACGGGCTGCTCACCTGCTGCTCGGTTTTAATTAACAAGAAGGTGGACTCCTGAGTGGCAGTCCCCCTGCAGCCGGCAGTGCTGCACTCACCTTGCCAACACCTGTCCCCACGCCTGTTGTTTCCATTGACAATCTACTGTGCCACTGTGCTACTAACTCTGGTCCACAGACATTTAACTTTGAGTTTAAGTGCTTCATTCTGCACCTTCCCCTCCTTCCCCTCACGGTGGTATCTAAACTGTGGATATGCTAAATGAATTAAGCAACCTAGACGATATAGAGCTAATGAATTGTTGAAATGTGATGAATGATTATAAGGAAACGCTCAGTTAGTGATTGTATTACCAATGTGAAAATCGTTTAGTTGCCATATATACGCTGAAGAATGTCTTCTTAGTCTGATAAGCTGGGGGTTTTTCTTTATGTGATTAACCATCTTTGCTTCCTGTGAAATGCGCTGGTCCATAGATTTTTCCTCTTTCCCTCTTTTTTTCTTGCAAACGCTGAAAAGCTTTTTCCAGTTACTTTCTTTTGCTTCTCTCACTTCTATCACAGTCACCTTGACCTTGGGTAAAATCAGGAGTCTTGCCTTCTCGATACCTTCCTGCAAGTTCACCCTGCCTGTTGTGGGTCCCCTCTGCCTCCGCTACATCCCCCAGCACCCCACTTTCCCTCAGAAGGCACATGGGTCCCTCAGCTGAACTGTGAGCAAAGTCAGAGCAGCTGTGTGAAGGTGAGCTGACTGCACAGAGGCACATCTTGACAGGGTTTCCCCGGAGATCTAAATTCCAGAAGAAGTAGGGCACCACACCTAGGAAGGTAAATTCAGCACCAGATGGTTGCTAGGGAATCGGAGATCAAGAAGCTTGGAAACACCCCATGGGTATAACATCTTAGAAAGTCTTTAAGTCACATTCCATGAATTTTTGCTTCATTACTGGCCATATACGGACCCTGGGGAAAAGTCTTATTTTTTTCTTTTCAGCTCATTATCCTCCCACCACTCTTCCCCTCATTGTGACTCACCCTATTACCAGCCTTTTACCCCCGGCAATTATCCTGGCCTGGCACAGTTATTTCCTTCAAAAGAGATATCCTATCTAAAAATTATTATTGATGGTCTAATGTGAGCCAGATGAAGCATGTTCAGGAAGTGATAGGCTGGTGCTTGAAACCAGCTGCTGACAATGGACAATTCTTTGAAATATTCCATGAATATTTACTGTGGAATTCAATCAAAACTCCTTTCCTTTCTAGCCTTTAAATTATACAACCTTGAACTGACATGGAACTCTTACATAAAACAATGCTGCAGTGAAGGGAGAGAGAACATTGTCTTTTATTGAAGCCTGAAAGAATCAGCCTTTTAGCAGGCCAGGGAAATGTTACTTTCCACGGAATGGTGACTGATCCAGGCATGTTACTGAATTTTCTGGTCATCTTCACCCTTCCTATATTGCCTGTGGCTTATTGTTTAAGAGTAAGAGTCAGAGAGATTAAGAAATACTACTTCAGCCCTGGCTGGTGTTGCTCAGTTGGCTAAGCATTGTCCCGTGCACCTAAAGGTCGCAGGTTCGATTCCTGGTCAAGGCACGTGCCTGGTGGGGTGCATACAGGATGTTTCTCTCTGTCCCTCTCCCTTCCTCTCTCTCTAAAACCAATAAAAACATTTTTTTTAAAGAAATACTACTTCAGGTCTTGCATTCCTTATGTTTGATGACCAAAAGAGAATTACCTTCATTCATTTCATCTCCCCTTAGTAGATGGAAGTCATAAACCTCTGAGAAAACAGATATCCTTCACCACTCTCTGTCTTTTTCATATATTTGATGCCTTTTTGCCAGAATTGGAAGAAATTCCTTCTCCTCTTTGTTGCTTAATTTTAAAATTCATTTCATGTACAAATATCTAATTATATACATCCTACGAATAAACCATATCTTGATCAATGTCATATTTCCAACTGTCTTATCATGGGTGAATAATATGCCCAAGTTAATAAAGAAAAATTATCCTCAGCAGATATGGCTGCCCTTTAGGGTTACATACAGCCTTATGCGGGCAAAAGCAGAATCTCCCTGGGAGAGGTCATCATCTCAAAAACAACCACAGAAGAACTGAGCCAGTCAGCTGGTGCAGGCTTGATGTGAAAGCAAACTACCACTTAATTTTCAGTGTCTGTTAGTGTCCTCCCAAATGAAAGAACGATTCTCTATTGTTTTTAGTTCTCTTTGATTAATTTGTCTTACAGAGACTGTTTTCACTTTTCCTTTCTTTTGCTTCTTTCCCTCTTGCCTTCACTTTGTCTCAAGAAATCCGGTAGAATCTGTGTGCCTCTCCTCCAGAGTCTGGCTCTGCACAGCTCTGCCAGCAGGGGGCTGGCTTCTTTGGACTACCTACGTGTTATGATGGTGTGAAAATCTGAAATATCTCAACCTAATAGTGTTACTTTATTGGTGTTCTCGTCAGCATAATGTTATCTTTGAAGAAGAAAGATATCCTCCTGTCCATTGTGATTTATAAACTAGTAAAAACTGCTCTTTGACATTATAAAGACATTACTAACTATATTTAAATAAAAGTTGAGTTACTCGATCAGTAAGATTCAATTTAGGAAGGACAATATAGAGAGAGTACATTATTTAGCATTATTTCTTCAAGTAGGTTGGATTGCTATAGAAATTAACAGGCGGATCTCACTAATGTGTATTGGTTGCTCTTTTAAGCTACTGTGAACAGATAGATTACTGAGGCTGTCTCCTCATCTCCACGGGAGAACGTAGTCTGTAGGTGAATACTGTGATTTGTCTAGAGCTGCATGTCAGTCGTTGTAATTATTTACTCTTTAACATTCTACAGAACTCAGACATGATTCCCACGTGGTATTGGATTTGTGCACTTTATTTTACTGACCATCTTGTTCCAGCCAATGTACGGTTATCCACTCTGTGTGCCAAAACCGGTAATGCCTTTCACTGCCCTTTAGTCCAGAGGAGTTGTGCACTGATTTTAGTTCTCTTGCTGCCCTGGTTCTACAAGTATACCAACAGTGGAATAAAGTGTCACTTGTACTATGATCAACAACGTATATGTCTCTCTCTCTTTTTTTAAACAGAAACTGCTAAGGTGAATTAAGTCATCATTTCTTTGTTTTCAGAGATGAGAAGTCTTCTCTCTTACAAGCTACAGAATTAGAAATACTGTACCTGTGAATCAACTGCCATCAGTAGCTTCCATCAAAATAATAGTTGAAGAGATACTATGTATCTCACACACTTAAAAAGTATGCATATTCTCTATGCCAGGTCAGGAAAGCTAGATTCCATACATGCTCCTCCTCAAAAAGGCTTCCCTTGTTCCTTTTGACTCCTAAGTGTGGTCAGTGCATTACCTGGCTCAGTTATGGAGGCATTTAAACACATTTTTCTTCTCGAATACAAGAGTTTTTATTTTGTTTTTGTTTGTTGGTTTACAGTAAGCATCTTTTAGGAAATTTGAAAGCTTTTTTTACAATTAAATTTTATTTTTTAATTACAGTTTACATTCAACATTATTTTGTATGAGTTTCAGGTGCACAGCAGAGTGGTTAGACAATCATATACTTTACAAAGTGATCCCCCCCCAATATTTCCAGTACCCACCTGGCACCATACATGGTCATTACAATATTATTGACTATATTTTCAATGCTGTGCTCTACATTCTCATGACTGCTTTGCAACTACCCATCTGTACTTCTCGATCCCTTCACCTTTTTCACCCAGTCCCCTAACTTGCTCCCTCTGGCAACCATCATTCTGCTCTCTGTTTCTATGAGTCTGTTTCTACTTTGTTTGTTCACTTGTTTTATTCTTTAGATTCCACATGTAAGTGAAATCATATGGCATGACAAAAGGAGGCAAGAACATAACAATGGGGTAAAGACAGTATATTCAATAAATGGTGTTGGGAAAATTGAACAGATACATGCAAAGAAAATGAAACTAGACCACCAACTTAAACCATACACAGGAATAAACTCAAAATGGATTAGACATAAATTTGGACTCAAAATCATAAAATTCCTCGAAGAAAACATAGGCAGTAAAATCTCTGACATTTCTCTTTGCAATATTTTTCTGATATAGCTCCTCAGGCGAGAGAGAAAAAAAATAAAAGAAACAAATGGGACTACAGCAAATGGAAATGAGAAGATTTTTTAATGAGGCTTTTTTCATTTCCAACCATTTTTTCTAGCCGAAAGTAGCTTTGTTTTCTTTTTCTGATTGTAAAAAGAACTGCTCACTGTAAAAATAAAATTCGAACAATACAAAAGGAACTATAAACACAAAAGTAAAAAAAATATATTACTCAAAGTTTCATCACCTAGGGATAGTTACTATTTACGTTTTGGAGAGTATCCACAAGTCTGTGAATATATATATAGATATAAGTATGAAATAAGTTTACATAATTATGCTGTTTTATAGCCTGCTTCCTTCACTTACCAATATGTTGTAGGCATCTTTCCATGTCAATAAATTAGATCTCCGTCATCAATTTTAACAGCCCTGAATATTCCATGATATGGTTGTTGAAGCAGCGCCTTCTAATTTATATGGAGTGTTACAGCACAGATGTTTGGTATACCCACGTTGCTAGTAGCTGGGGGTGGGGGGGTATTCAACTGCCAAAAAATGTGTTGCTTATAAGGTCTCATGCATACCCAGAGTTAGTTCAGTCTGAATGGTACGTGCAAATGCTCACCAGTAGCACGGACCAGTACTAAAATTCCTTGGAGAGGTCACTGATTTAATCACACCCTGTCAGCTGAGGCTGCACTGATTAATTCTCCTGTATTTAGGTTGACATTGATAAGGACAATGAAGCTAGAAAATGCCAACGGCTACCCCTGCAAACTTGCCCTGGGTCCCGTAGGAAGTGCAACCCTCCACCTGAGAGCCAGCGTGCTCCTCAGAGAGATGGGGGGCACTTTGTACAGGAGGAGTTGGCAGGGTTTCCCCCCTGATCTCCCTGTCAGCCTTCCAGAAGAATGGAGGGAGATAAGCATGCGAAAAACTCCTTCGTGATGAGCTGCACACGGGAGGTGGGAATTTTTCTGAAGGAAGAACGCTGGCCAGCAATACTTCTAGACAAGTGAACACATGTTTCATATGCTCATCCTGTGCCAGGCACCAGGTGGGTACAGCTCTTGTCTTTCAGGAGCTGACAGTCTGGGGGGGGAGGGGCGAGGCAGGGAAGGGAGACTACGCATGTATACAGGTGGTTATGACACCGCCGAAGGTAAGGTAGGAACAGAAAAGCACAGTGGTGGTGTGGTCCCCCAGGAGGAGTCGGGTGGGATCTGAGCATGGAAGGACAGCTCTGGCTTCAACAGGCAGAGATGGGAGTTGCAGGCATTGGGGGCCGAGGGAACAGCATGAGCAAAGGCATGGGGTACAGGTGCCCTTCAGACGCACCCACGCTGTGCCAGTGAAGTCTGCTAGGCCCTGGGGATACAATGGTGACAGTCCCTGCTTCTTGGAACTTACATCCAAACAGGAAGATATATGAAACAGGTTACTGCACGTGTGATCGGCATTATGGAGAGAGAATGGGGTGCTAAGAGCAGATGGTAGGGGCACACAAGTGGATTCGTTTGGCTGAAACATGGGAAAATATAAGGTCATCGTGAGATCACCTAGGCTGAAATGTCCAGGCTGTGCCTGCTAAGGTCGTCTGAATTTGGCAGTCTGTGAGGATCCCTGAAGACGTTTGGGTCAGGGAGGGATATCACTTGGAGCCTGGTGTGGCAGCACTGTGCTGGATGAATGGGGATTGAGACTAGCGTTTCTCTTCAGATTAATTTCTCCAAGTTTAATGTGTCGCTTAACCATCTCTTCTCACCACCCAAATGGAAGCTGAAAGCTGGGAAATTAAGGCTCCCTATGGTTCCTGTCCTGAAAAACAGATTAATAACACCTGCCCCTCCTCCAAGGGGACATTTTCAAAGCAAATGAGATAAAAGGATTGAAAGGTTCTTTGGAAGAAAGGTATAAAGTAAATATCATTATCATCATCATTATCCTCATTAACTCCTATCGCATCGAGTCTGGATCCCGTCAAAATGTCATCTATTTGAAACATCAATAGCTACTCCAGAAATAACTCAGGATTTTTATCACGGATGCCTCTGAGCTGGTCCAGTGGCTTCTGTGGAGAAGTCACGGGTCTCCTGCAGCCAACAGGGCTGCTCCGAAGACAGGCTTCCATTAGGGAACTGTTGGCAGATCCGAATGCTCCCCATCTCCCTTTCCTCTCTGCACGCTCATTTCCAACCCAGCGAAGGCTGGGCCACTTACAGCACTAGATAACCGGGGTTATCGGGCTTGTAGGAGAACGTGTAAGCGCCAACTATGTTGCTGTCACTATAAATAAATAAAATTCAAACCAGTGTGCCAGTGAACCACTTGGTAAAAATATAGCCTGGGCTGGCTTGTGACACGATGGGTCCTTAGGTCTTGGGAAGCCCCCTCTATGTATAAACAGAAGG